TTTTTTTAGTTTAAGTTTTTTAGTTGTAGATGGACACAATACCCTTATTTTATTTATTTATTTTTATATGGTTCTGAGGATCCAACCCAGTGCCTCACATGTGCCAGGCAAGCACGTTACCCGCTGAGCTACAGACATAGCCCCATCCTACTCTTTTGAGTTTTTATTGTTTTAGATTCCATGTATAATTGAAATCATGCAATAATTGCCTTTCTGTGTCTGGTTTATTTCACTTAACACATAATGTCCCCTTGGTTTATCCATGTTGTCACAAATTATAAGGGCTCCTTCTATTTAAAGGTTAAGTGGTATTTTATTTTTATATATATCACATTTTCTGTATCTTCTCATCCTTTAATGAAAACTTAGGTTGAGTTCATAACATGGCTGCCATGAATAATGTTGCAATGAACACGAGACTGAAGATGTCTCTTTGAATCAGTTTAGTCTCCTTTGGATGTATATTGGGTAGTGGGTTTGCCACATCACATGGTACCTCTATTTTTAATTTGGGAGGAACCTCCACACTGTTTTCCATAATGGCTCTAGTCATTTACTTTCCCACCAGCAGTGCACAAGGGTTTCCTTTTCTCCACATCCTTTCCAGCACTTACAGTTTGTCTTTTTGATGATAGACAGCCTGACAGATCTGAGGTGAGATCTCACTGTGGTTTTGATTTTCATTTCCCCGATGACTAATGATGTTGAGCATTTTTTATGTACCTGTTGGGCATTTGCATATCTTCTTTTGAAAAGTGTCTAATTCAGATCCTTTGCCTATTTTATAATGAGGTTGTCTTCTTACCAATGAATTGTTCCTTATGTAATATTAGCCCCATATCAGATGTGTGGTTTGCAAATATTTTCTCAATCTGTAGATTGTCTCTTCACTTTGGTAATTGTTTCTTGTACTGTGCAGACCTTTTAGGTTTGGAAGATCCCGTTGTCTATTTTTGCTTTAGTTACCTATACTTTTAAGTTCCTATTCAAAATCATTATTGCCCAGACCAAGTCATGGAGATTTTTTTTCCCTAAATTTTCTTTTTCTTTAAAAAAAAAATTTTTTTTTTAGTTATACATGGACACAATATCTTTATTTTGTTTATTTTATTTTCATGTGGTGTTGAGAATTGAACCCGGTGCCTCACATGTGCAAGGCCAGGGCTCTGCCATGGAACCACAACCCCAGCCCTTCTTCTGTGTTTTCACTTAGTGGTTTTATAGTTTCAGGTCTTAACTATAAGTCTTTAAACCATTTGAATTGATTTTTATATGTAATATGAGACCAGGATCTAATTTTATTCTTCTGTATATCGATATACAGGTATTCTGGGAGCTGTGTTGTGACGCAGTGGTAGAGCACTCGCCTCGCACATGCAAGGCCCTGGGTTCGATCCTCAGCACCACATAAAAATAAAAAAATAAAATAAAGCTATTAAAAATATATATATATTTTAATATATATATACATACAGTTTATATATATATATATATATATATATATACACACACACACAGTTTTTCCAACACCATTTATTGAAAAGACTCTTCTTGTCTGACTGAGATTCTGTGTTCTAGGCATCTTTGTTGAAAATCAGTAAACTATAAATATGTGGACTTATTTCTGGATCTTCTATTCTGTTCCATTATCTATGTATCTGTTTTATGTCAGTACCATGCTGTTTTTTTAATAATAGATTTGAGGTAGATTTTACATCAGGTAATGTGATGCCTCTAGCTTTGTTCTTTTTGCTCAGATTGCTTTGGCTATTCGGGGGGAATTTGGGGTTCCAAATTTTAGGATTACTTTTCTATTTCTGTGGAAGATGTCACTGTAATGTTGATAGTATTGCAGTGAATTTTTAGATGGGCATTTTAACAATATTCTTCCAATCCATGAACATGGGATATCTTTTCATTTACTTGTGTCACCTTAAATTTCTTTCATCACTGACTTACCATTTTCAGTGTACAGATCTCACCTTCTTAGCTAAATCTATTCTTAAGTTGTTGTTTAAATTTTCTTTAGCTTTATATTCTAACCCAGAGTCTAGTCAAAAGACAGCACTCAGTGTGT